AATAACTTGGAATAGAAATGAATTGTACAATAAATCTCTTAAAGATAGAAGTACATAGTTCTGTTCACGACTATAGTAAAGATGAATATATATGAAGCTCAGAATTACTACAGTAGAATAAAATGTAAGAGAAGAAATGAAAGCTCAATGAATGCTTCTTTAATGCTTTTCAAGAATGGTAGAATGCTCTCTGTAATGGTGTATTTTATTATGCAGACCAAACTCTGTATTTATAGATAAATAATGGTCAATATAGATGTTGCAGGTGGCTGGGAAAGAATAAATGAAAAAGTTTCCGTTGTAGATCAAAACCCTAGAAGGAGCCGGCTCTTATAAACAAGAGGAGGTGGCTCCCTAGCCTTGAGAGCCGGCTCTCCATTGCATGGAGACGGCTCCCAGCCTCTGAGAGCCTGCTCCCTATTTTGGGAGCCTGTTCTTTGGATGGAAACTTTATTTTTCGTTGAAAAATAGCTTATAGGAATGTTAAGAGCCGTCTCTATTTTTGTGGAGCCTTCTCTATTTGAAATAGAGCCGGCTCTAATTTTCTTGAGCCTTCTCTAATTTTGTAGAACCTTCTCTACTTTCCTGAGCCTTCTCTAATTTTGTAGAGCCTTCTCTACTTTCAGTAGGAGATTTAAAATGAAATCCAGTATGATGTGAGGCTCATGTGTGAATGTGTTCAAAAACCTAATGAGCTACTTTTATGTTCTTTGAAAAATGAAATGAGAATAATATGCATGAATTGTAATTTTGAGCTTCAAAATATATTCAACTGAACTTTGACATTAAACCTTAAGCTCTCACCATCCTATCTACCCTTTTCTTCATTTATTGACCATGATCGTTTAGGCTTGATGAAGATTTGCTGAAGGGCTTGAAAAATCTTTGAAGTCCGAGTTTTTTTTTAATTTCTTGCACTTTGAGGCTTTCTTGAATCCATTGCTTAAGTATTTGGAATGCTTGGAATGAATTTTCTAGCTCAACATTGAGGATTGAATATTGATCAACTGTATATCATTCAATGAATAGAATCCTTAGGCCAATATATGTATATGCACCGGTATGAGACGATGGCATATTAGGGACGGCTTAGTTCAAAACACTAAGACCTACCTATTCTAGGGACGGATTAGTTCAAACACTAAGTCCTACCTATAGTGAAATAAGATGGATTAACTACAAAAGTTAAGTCATATTTATATCTATGTATCAGGTCAATAAACCTTTTGAATGACACACCTTGAACGAACTTTATATATTTATGTTATGGTGCCATGGTATGAGCTTGATTCTCATGATCATGGTTAGGGTGCGTATATTGCCTAGGATGGATAACTGGAACGTAGTTGTTGTTCCCTGGTAGGTCTAGGTACACATGACCACATTATGTTCGATTTGCATGGTATCTTTACTTAAGCTGAGACAGACCTATTGGACTAGTGAGCGTCCTATAGTGTGTACTTATACATATATGGACTACTCTAGCTATTGTTGAGCTATCTATGATGTATTTGCGTATCGAATTTCTGTATGGATCGTAGTAGGATAGGACTTGTATGTGGGCCTGACCCACTCTTTTATTTTTCAGGTGCTCGTCAGTTTCAGGGTTAAAGCTTGATCATGATAATGCAGATACAGACACTCATTCTTCCGACTACTTAGGATTTCCTTTCTTATTTTAGTTTTGGATATCAGTTATGTAATTTATTTTCACTTGGGATTATTAGGGGTCCACTGGATGGATTCCCGAGTTGTACGGATTTGAAGGATTTAAAGGATATTAATTTATTATTTAAAGTTTGAGGATTTTTATTTTAGTTTTCTTTCAGCGTATTATTATTTTATTCTTAATTCAGTTTTTATTCCTGCTTGTTTACATATTGATTGTTTGGTATCCCTCAGATCTGTACTCGGACTTGATCACCCGTGACTCTAGAATCGAGGGGTATCACACCATGCCTACCATTTTTCGTCACCATACTCCTTATACACAATCAACATGCTCCCCCCCCCCCCCCCCTCTTTTTTCACATTTTATTTACACGATTAGATCATCTAACTATTCCTTATACATGGCCATGTAACATAAACTTTAGCATATAAACATATAAATGTGCAAACACATAGCAAGGAAATATGTCTTTCGAAACTGTAAACACATAAACATGTAAACAAGTAGACAGTTAAACATGCTTTTCAATTAACAAAACACTTTAGCAATTAGTCACATAAATGATACAAATGACTTCCCACACAACCCTAGGTAGGCCTCTACCCGACGTCCTAATGGTATTCGAACCATTACTCTAGCACCAATTTTGTAACGACCCGAACCCGAGGGTCCGAATCGCTAATCGGGTCCTTACCCAAACCCGAGGTCAACTAAGGGCTCTACCGTCCTTTCATAAGTCAATACATAATATACGTGTCATCCTAGGGTTTATAAAATAATAATAATAAAATAAATAAATAATAATATGAGATCATAACTACAAAGTATGTCAAAACGATTTACTAACTCATCCCTGTGGAGGAGCGTCGTCCACCACTTCCCATCCATGTCTTGAAAAATGTTAAATATAAGGGGTAAGCAAATTGCTCAGTAGGAAGTGCCTAAGACACACTTCTTATGATCCCGTGAATCCATATAAAGAATAGAAAGTATGAGAACGGGATCATATCTTGGGAGTCGAGTAAAACCACTGTATCATCAACAAATATACATATATCAACCAACTACCAAATGCACCAAGTATGCCAATGATGCGCCATGCCATGCAATATCACTTTCTATTTCTGAAACAACGCCGTTTCAACTTCCAAACCGTTAGTGTAATCCGACCCAAGACACTTCCAAGGCGTCACGAAAGGGGGATTGGCTAACTATCCAGAACTACAAGGCACCTTCAAGGCCTCACATCCAGCCTAGTTAACTCAATCCCTAGTCCTCTCTAGACTGCACCAACACCACGGACCACTAGGCGTCTCCTAGGCGTCCAGTTTTCACAAACACTTTCCAAAACAATTTTTCCAAAATTATTTCATTTCATTTCAAAACAAATTTTCCTTTTCTTGCCCAATGCAATGCATGAATGCTTCATGCTTTAATCCCCATACCATATCAAGTTCACAATTCCATATAATTCATCTATATCTCATTTGCATGCTTTTGGGAAAATTAAATTAATAAACTCTAAATTAACAATTTTGACAACATAGTATTTGACATTCAAATATTCAAGTGTATATAATCAAAATCAATAAATAATACAAGCAATTTTAATCACTTTCAACACATTATACACCTTGCCATGCTCATTATATATAAAATGTCTATAATCATAAACAATACTCATAATTTAGTAAGCAACTTAACAACTTTTATAAGAAAACTCACAAAGTCAAAGAAAATTGTGGATTAGAAACCCCTACCTCAATGGAAGTGAAAACTTCCAAAAATTATCCAAAATTTTGAAATTCAATAGTGCTAAAATAGGACTTTGCTCTGATCAAAACGTAGATCTCGACGTGCTCGTTGGCTTTACCTTAAGCGGCAAAATCAAAATCCCTATAGAAATGCTTAGATTTAAGCTTATATGGGGTGAAGGAAAAAGAAAATTAAAAGCTTATTGAGAGGAGAAAAACTGGCGCAGAAAATGGGCTGAGATAAATGGTCATGTAATGATCTTGTAGTCATTATAATGATAAAAAAACATTTGTGAGCCCCACGCAATAATATAACTTCCTTTTTGCTTTTCTCCTCATGTTTTTCTTTTTTTAATCTATAAATCACCTAAGAAACAACAACATCAGTCGCACAAAGCCAAAGCCAATGACTTTTTGGGTAAAAGAAAATCCAAGTGGGTCCCACGAAAATAATCATCACCATTCCCTCACAATTTTCCTTTCTATCTTCCGATTGATTTTCGGCTGCCACCTACTTCCTTTAGCATAGAATATATATATATATATAATCAAAATATCAAACCCATTAACCCTTGTGGGACCCGCCACCCACCAATTTCCATTTCAATTCTCCTCATCTCCTTAGGAATCTATATACACATGAATCATAAAATCAACCCATTAGATATCTCAATTGGGTATTAATTATGACAATTAAAAATCATGAAATAAATATAAATCTTAAAAATTCAGATTATCACAATTTCATATCCTTAATTAATTCAAATAAATCTTAAATTTATAATTGACATATGAATCTTCAATTGAAAATATATATACCATCTCGTCGTCTGATTTGGAGTTGGGTATCGGTTAATTCAAGTTGTAGAGTTAGATACAAGTTAATCAAGTTGTAATGCTTTCAATAACTAACTTATCTTAGGGAATGTTTGCAGTATCTAAACAATCTCTCCATCTTTTTTTTCTGAAAATTATTTATGTTGAAAATATACCAAGTGCTGGGAAAGATTATTACTATTCTTATTTTTTTTTTCATGAATTTATTGATACGGCTATTGGAACTTTTAAAATATGAAAGAAACTATAGAACCGTTGGAATCATGGTTTGAAACCAAACTAAATCGGTCTTTCACGATTTGGTTCAGTTCAAAATAAAGTATCAACGATTCCAATTTTTTAGAAACGATTGGAATCAATTTGGTTCTGATTTAGCCTGAAATGCCCGTGATGCATTTATAGGTCTTCATTAAAATGATGAAATTGCCCCCTAGAGAGCAACACCCTTTCCCCTCCATGATCCATCACTTGCAATGTAAGCTGGCAGGGACCAATTTTGGATAATATTTGGATCAATTTTGGATAATATAAGTTAACACAAAAAACGAATCAAGGAAAGAAACCTTGAAATTAAGTCCAAGTCTTGATTTAAGCCATATAAGGCCGCAGCCATTGGGAGCCCTAATTGTCACTCCTAATAAATTCCCCCAATGCATAAACAATGATGTCTCAACAAACCACAGAAATAAGTATAGTTTTACCGCTAAAATTCTCAAATGCTTAACACAAATCACCACTACAACAACAAAACTCCATTATATATATCAAGACATTGAATAATAGAGGAAATAGGGGACTCGAAGGGTGTAAGAAACAACCAACAAAAACATCTATGCAAATAGCTCTTCATAGGAAGTGCAGTATCAAAGTCTTCACACTAGTGGGGCTCAGTGTGGCTAGGCTTGATTTTTATCTTACCCTTGGGTGAGGTGGAGGACGATGGTGCAAAGGTTGCTAGGCTTGACTCTGGTTTTTCATTAATGGTTTCAATCAATTCTAGATTCTCCACAACTTCTTTAATTGATGGCCTGTATTTGGGTTCACGTTCAAGACATCTTAGAGCAAGTTGAATCATTTGTGTAGCGGCTCTGGAAGGATATTTCCCTTCAAACCGGGAGTCCATTACATCCTTCAACTTCATTTTTTTCTTAAAATATGGTTTGATCCAGTCAACCAGATAGCGTTTCCCATTTGGACGGTTTGTGTCAAGTGCCCGCAACCCAGTTAGCATTTCAACCAATACAACGCCAAAACCATACAAGTCGCTCTTTACATCCGGATATCCTGTTAAATAAGCATGATATCAGTAACATGACACCATTTATTTAGTTGGCCAAGCTCAAGTGGCTTTAGATCATGCAAAGGCCAAAACTTTGATTCTGATCAACATTTAGCCATAGAAGCAACGAAGCTCAAAAAGGTTCAGGGGGTTACCTGTGGCAATATATTCGGGTGCAGCATAGACATATGGGCCGATAAGCCATGGTACCTCATAGATTTCACCATTAGAGGAGCCCACTTTTGCCATACCAATGTCTGATATCTTGGCATTATAACACTGGAAAAAAAAAAACGACAACAAATGAAAAAAAAGATAGAATCAGTTTATTGCATAGGATCTAATTGATAAACACTTATTTTACAATCAATTACATCAGCTTTCCTTTCCCCCCAATAATGTGGTAGGTTAGAAAGGGTCCAGGTTTTATTGGGGTAAATTGCATAGTGTTGACTGCACATAACTTACCGCATCAAGCAATATATTTGATGTCTTGAAGTTACTATAAATTATTTGTTTTTCTGATGTGTGTAAGAATTCCAGGCCCCGAGCTGCTCCCATTAAAATCTTAAACCGTATGCCCCATGGAAGTGACTGAACAGATAATCCCCCTGCACTAGTCAAAGCATTGGTGTTGAGTGAACCAACTAAATGAGTTCAACTAATTTTTAGAAGAAAAGTGTGTTAATATTGACTAATGTTAGGACATTTGCATTAATTCGTACACGCGCGCACACAGAGTCTTACTTCCAAAAAGGTGTTTCTCCAAGCTACCCTTTTGCATGAATTCATGGACAAGGAGTAGCTCTCCATCCTCCCAACAGTATCCCAGCAACTTAACAATGTTAGGATGAGAAAGCCTTCCTAGGAAATTCACCATAGACTGCAGAAATAAATGAAAAAACAAATACATTACAGCATTTAGGAGAACTACTATAAATTCCATTTATTAAAAACAAAAATAAAAATGGTGAAAAAATAACTAGTTCTCCACATGTCAAGGGGGGAAGAGTAAATTCAACGCAGTAGAGCATTAAGAACTTATAAATATTAGCCCCTTTAAATAAGAATTTATTTTTTTTCTAGTTGGAACTCACACACCTCTTCCAAGGAATTGTTTGCACTTAGTAGGAATCGATCCTAAAACTTGATGCTACATGAGGCACTAGGGCCCAAGTATTTTCCAACTAGATCAACCCATTGGTGTCATTAAATAAGAATTTAAGATTAATAATATCACTTCTCACATAATCAAAATTTCCAAGAAAGAATAGAAAATCACATTAATAACTTTTTTAGTATATAATTGTAATGTCTGTAAATTACAAAGAAAAAGAAAAAGAGAAAAAAAAAAAAATGTGTGGGACTCAAGAAGTTTAAGTGGTCATAAGACCACGTTTTTTTTTTCCTTTTTTTTTTTTTTTTTTTTTTTTTTTTTTTTTTTTTTTGTTCTCTGTTGTTTCTTCTCTCTCGTAGCTCTCTGCCTCTTTGTATTTCTTTTTTTTTTTTTTTCTTTTTCTTTTGCAAGCTTTCACTCTTGATTTCTCCCTCATCTCTTGGCAGATTTAGGTGCCGTTTGAGGTAAAACGACGAGCACGACGAGCTCTACGTGTTAGTACCAGAATTTGCAGCTTTTGGTCCTCTTTGGGAGCTCGACTTTAAGAACCCATTTCTAGGGATTTTGCTCATTTTGAGGTAGGGGCATCTTAATCCACTCCTTTCTTGTTCTATTGTGAATTACACCTCCTTGTTGTGTCAAACATGTTTAATTGGGAGTTAATTGTATCTATGATTGTATGAATGATGTCTAGAGAATTTTCAAGAGCTTGATTATGACTTGTTTCATGTGTAAAATATGTTTAGATGTTATTTTATCATGCCCACTATGTGTTAACATGCTAAAAATGACTAATGAGAACATGTTTATTTAGATTGTGCCAAATTTCCCATTGTCATAATATTGAGGTTATATGTACATCCATGCACATGTCATTGGGATGCATGAAATGGGAGAATTTGTCTTGAAATGAAAATGGGAGAAATTTTGGGAGAAGAGTTTTGTCAAATAGTTTTGATAAACCCGGTCGCTGCGGGGTTACCAACGGGCCGGAGGTTAATATAGCCTAGAGGGGACTAGGGAGTCGCCCTAGTGTGGTTGAGCTATTCGGGCCCCTCGATGACGCTGCGGGGTTACCAAAGGTCTAGGGACGATAGCCAATCCTCCTCTCGTGTCGCGGCGGGGTTACCAAAGGGCGGGTTGTATTAACATTTGAAAGTGATGGTTTTGTGAATGAAAATGGGGAGTGACATTAGCATGCATTGCATTTCATTGCACTGCATGGTTTATAATTGGCATTGACGTGCATATTGTTTTAATTCCCTATATTGCATGATTCCTATTTCCATTGGCCAATGCTTTGTTTGGATTCACAATGACATAAGAATTGTGTCTTAAGTGTCACCTATTGAGCTTTATGCTCACCCTACTATTTATATTATTTTTGTCAGGTCTTGGAAATGAACCGGTGGACGACAATCCACCTCAAGCTTGAAAGTTATTAGAAGGTTGTTTGCTATTTTGTATTTTGACCGTTTTATGTATATTCATAGTTGTGGGAATGTAACTAAGTTAGTATTCATGGCCTTGTAACTTAAGAACGAACTTATCTTTTGTTTGATGTAAATGAAACTAATGGAATTATGGTATATGTTTCCATGCAATTGTATCATGTAATGTTGTAAGACAGGGACTTTAAATCTTAACCATGTATTTTGGAAATGTAATTATGATAATTTAGATTAATTGGTGTGTGGATGTTCCACCATAAGAGGAACTATGTTGAGGTATAATGAACGGATGAATGGGATGCTGGATGATATTATATGTTTTGTGTATTGGGACAAGTTGTTGAAGGCCCATTTTTAGGGGAGGTTATGCCGATTTTTTTTTTAAATTTTGGCATCAGCTAGGGTCGTTACAAATTTGGTATCAGAGCCCATGGTTCGAAAACCATTAGGACGACGGGTAGAGGCCTACATAGGATTGCGTGGGATGTTGATTTCATTGTGTATTGACTATTTGCTACTTGCTTATTACTTGAACAAGCATGCTTAACTGCTTATGTGCTTACGTGCTTAAATGTCTATGGTAAAATGTTTCTTGCATGGTTTTGCATGCTAAGTGTCATTACGACATCATTTCACGTTGAGTTGTCTATAGTGGACTTTAGTGTTATGTCATTGAACCGTTTTCTCGTTTTGTAGCACGATGTCATGGCGGAGGAACAAAGGGAAGTTGGCTCCAGGCCGACTAGGGGTGATGTTGGCGAGAGCACCCGTCGAAGTGGGTGAAGGTTCTGTGGCACTGGAGTTGAATCGTTTGTTGCAAAATGTCGTGAGGGCAACGATTGCTGCTCAGTCGCAGTCGGCACCACAACCTACAGTTCAAGTTGAGGAGACGCCAGCTTAGAAGCGTCTCAAGATTATTAAGGGGTTTTCTCAGCTGATGCTGGTTATGTTTGAGGGCGGTGCGGATCCAATGATAGCAGATGACTACATGGAGCAAGTTGAAACTCAATTGATTTCAATGGATGTGATGGAGGATCATTTGAAGATCATCCTAGCTACTTATAAGTTTGCTAAGGATGCCAAATTATGGTGGAAGTCGGTTACGAGCCGGTATAAGGTGGAGGAGATGAGTTGGGACAAGTTTAAGGAATTGTTTTATGAAAAGTACTTTCCGCTTTCCAAAAGATGGGAGTTACAAGACCAGTTTCATAACCTTATCCAAGGGAGTATGTTAGTGGCAGAATATGAAAACAAGTTCACTTCACTTTCTCGCTTTGCTCCAGAAATTGTGAGAGATGAAGTTAACAAGACTCGGAAGTTTGTTTCTGGTCTTAATGATCGGATGAGGCCGTTGATCACGACACAGTTCATCAAGGTATATTCTGAAGCAGTGGAAAAGGGCTTTAATGTTAGAAGCGGATAACAGAGATAAGGATACGAGAAGAGAACAGTGGAAGCAGAAAAGGGGTGTAGGGCCATCCTCAGAAGGATCTTCTTGGAAGAAGAACAAAAGTGGTTTATTTCAGTTTCAGGGGCAGCAATCTACACGATCTGTTCTTACCACTCCTATGCCAGTTGGATCTGACAAGGGTAGAGTTGTTTGTTATCAATGTCAGCAGCTTGGGCATTACAAGTCCAGTTGTCCCATGAGATTGACTTCAGTTTCTTCAGCTCCTAAGGCTTGTTATGGGTGTGGCCAGCAGGGCCATTTGATTCGGGACTGTCTGAGTCAGGAAGCAGGCACCACTAGTGGCAGAGGGTCACGGCAGAGGCCGTTACAGTCGGCTACGGTTCAATCAGGTTTCAAACCACTGCCGCCACCACCACAGCCTGCCTTATCTTCTCAGGGTTCACGACCAGCTAGGAGGGATACTCCTACTGTGTCGGCACAACAGTCTGGTTTTCAGATTAGTAATTCACAGGCACAGGCACCGTAGGGGCGTGTATTTGCCCTTGCACCGACTGATGCATCTGCTGGATCTTCAGTTCTCCGAGGTATATTTTCAGTGTTTGGTTCGTGGGCCCGTGTTTTGTTTGATTTTGGTGCATCTCATTCTTTCATTTCATCATCATTTGCACTTGCATCGGGGTTAGAGGTCAGTTTTATGGATTGGGCGTTGTGTGTTGATACGCTAGTTGGAGTTTCAGTGTCTTTGAGCTGAGTCGTGAGGGACTGTTCCATTGTGATAGCCGGGTGGACTTTTGTGTTTGACCTTATTCTCCTGGAGATGACTAGCTTTGATGTCATTTTTGGGATCGATTGGTTAGCTTCCTTTCATGCCATGATCGACTGTTTCAGAGGAAGGGTTACAGTTTGTACTCCCGAGGGAGACTGTTTCTTTTTTCGTGGGAGATCGGAGTGATTCCCACATTTCATCATTTTATGGAATTCGTGGACAGAGTCGTGGTGATTACTTTTTGGCTAGCCTTATAGCCAAAGAGGATGATGTTGTGGAAGAAGATTATCCTTCAGTTGTTCGTGATTTTTCTGGATGTGTTTCCGGAGGATTTGACAGAGTTGCCTCCACACTGAGAAGTAGAGTTTACTATTGACTTGATGCCCGATATCACGCCGATTTCTATGGCACCGTATTGTATGGCACCAGTTGAATTGAAGGAATTAAAAAGACAGCTTGATGATTTGAGGATGAAAGGTTTCATCCGACCGAGTGTGTCACCATGGGGCGCACCGGTTTTGTTTGCTAAGAAGAAAGATGGTTCTTTGAGGTTGTGCATCGATTATCGGAAGTTGAATCGTGCCACCATTAAGAACAAGTATCCTTTGCCAAGGATAGATGATTTATTTGATCAGTTGAGGGGAGCCAGTTGTTTCTCCAAGATTGACTTGAGGTCTGGCTATTATCAGTTGCGGGTTAGGGATGAGGATATCCCGAAGACAGCATTCCGTACACGGTATGGACACTATGAGTTCCTTGTTATGCCTTTTCGCTTGACTAGTGCTCCAGCGGCATTCATGGACTTAATGAACCGCGTCTTTCACGATTACTTGGACCAGTTTGTGGTAGTTTTCGTGGATGATATTCTTGTGTATTCACGATCTCGGGAGAAGCACGAGATCCATTTAAATATTGTTTTACAGATTTTGCGGGAGCACCAGTTGTATGCCAAATATGAGAAATGTGAGTTTTGGCTACAAGAGGTGAAGTTTTTGGGACATGTTGTTTCAGAAGGCGGAGTGTCAGTTGATCCATCAAAGATTGAAGCTGTTTTGAATTGGGAGCAACCCAAGAATGTGTTTGAGATCCGTAGTTTTCTTGGTCTAGCGGGTTACTACCGGAGATTTGTGAAAGATTT